CGTACAGTTAATATGCTAACAAAATTGAGAACACCAAAGAAATAAAGGAGTATCTTCAAAAATATATAGTACCAAACTATCAGAAAACCAGACAAAGATCTTGGATAATCCAATCTCAGAAAAAGAATTAGATCTAGTTATAAAGGTACTACCATGGAGAGTGGGGGGTAAGGAGGGGACCCTAGATCTGCTGGATTCAAAGGAGAATTCTATCAGACTTTTAAAGAACAGTTAGTACCACACAGTTCAAAAATTAAAAAAGAAAGAACCCTACCAGAATCCTTTTATGAGACAAATATAGTCCTGACACCTAAACCAAGGAAAGATAAAACATAAACAGAAAACTATAGGCCAATATCATTAATAAATATGGACTCAAAAATTTTAAACAAAATCCTAACAGATTACAGTGATTTATCCAAGAAATCATTCATTATGACCAAGTGGAATTTATACCAAAGTTGTAAGAAGCAATAATACAAAGGGAAATCCCATTCCAAATAACTATAAAATGCATAAAATATCTGGGGATCAGCCTCCCAAAGCATACAAAAGACTTGTATAGATTCAATTACAAAATACTCCTTAAAGAATTAAAGAACGATCTAAATAGCTGGAGGAATATTCAGTGCTCATGGCCAGGCCACACCAATATAATAAAAATGTTAATACTACCAAAATTAATTTATACTTTTAATGTTATACAGGGTTGCAGGCTGGACCTGCCTCAAACTGTCACAATGTCTACTGTTGTAGAGAAGACAGGAGTGAGCACACTCTTTCATGTTCTGGTACCACAAAAAGACTTAGTTTTATCAGAACAAATCAGAATACCCTTACTCCACCTGCTGGGAATGCTTCATCGAACATGGCACTGACAACTAAAATGGGCAAACCATGAGTATGTATGAAATGGACTGAAGATATAAATACATGCATTATGCACCAATGCTATATCATAAAAAAAAATCTCATCAATTACAGGCTGAATCCTAATATTGTTTTCTGTCAACAATACTCTCAGTTTCAAGTCACAAAACATACTGCTGACTAGTATAGGACAATCATTAAGAAAGAATATCATCCCTAAACCTAGATCAAATGAAATAAAAGATGAAATTGAGGAGCAACTAAAATCTAACAGAGCAAAAAGTTGAAGACCCTAAAGACGTTGAAAACTTTTACTTAAGGCAAATTCTAGAAATTATACCTAATAATGAAAAAGATGACAAAAAACCCCACTAAAGTCTCAAATTATTTTGAAAGGGAAATGGCCATCCTTAAATTCAAAAAAGCTTTTTTTGAGTGTAAAGCATAAATCCAACTATCAGACCAATTTATATCAAAACAGAGTAACTGAAAAAAGTTAGCATCTATTATGACCATCAAGCATTCTCCTGCAGAATTTGATATAAAGTATAAAAATATTTCAGGACCTGCACACAGCAACAGATGTAGCAGCTGTTGCCACAGTAAAAACCACAGAAAGGAAAGGTGGAGCTAACAAGCTACAGACCAAACACCATGGCAGAAAAAGCAATTTGAGGAAAGTATTGAAGATCTACAGAAAGGTGATGGAAGATGCCATCAACAGCCAGAGATAGTCACAAAAAACCTAAACCCCACGTGGCCAAACTCAAAGCAGTATGAGGAAAGGAAACTGGAGTACATTAGTACATCAGAAATTCTAGATTCCTTTAATCAGCCATTGAAAGCCAAAGTGAAAGGCTGGGGCAACATAAACAGTCAAAGCAGCATGAAGAATAAAATAAACATTTCAACATTAATCAAAAACTTTACCCCAGAGGTCTGAAAAACAATGAAATTAAAGGCAACACAGATCCCCTCAAGAAGGAGGATGTGGAAAATTTCTGGTCATCTATATAACTGAAGAACCCAATATAATAAAAATGCAAGTTGACTCAAGACAGAGAAAGCTTACACAATATTACTACAATGAATGACAAAACAGTGATATCAAGGGAGAGATCTCCCTTGATGAAACTCTAATCTCATGGCAAATTTGGAAATCAGCCAAATAAGTTTTGGCTCAAATACTTTGCAGTGCTGTCTGAATTACTAGCAAGGCCTCTTTACCAGCTTCCTTTTAGATGTAAGCCCAATCCCATTTTCTTTTAATAGAAGGAATTACATATTATTACCTATTACCAAAATTATATATTATCACCCATTGCCAAAGGATGAGAATACCAGTCATCTCCTGAAATATAGGTGATTTATGTTTTTATGCACTTTATATAAAGCATTCAGTTTGCAGCTTGAAAAATAAATCTACAGGTACCCACAAGAAAATAATGTATTGTGTAAGACACAAAAAAAGCGTGCCAAATAGTCCCAGAGGTGTAAAGACCAACTTACTTCTTTGGTAATTAATGAATAAGCTGTCACAAAGTCCTATAACATATGGTACATAACCTAACACTGTAATAGTAAAGGCTATTAAATAGGTACCTGCTACTAGAGTCTTTAAAATGTATTTATTGCTTATGAAATTATTAAGATCTAAGAGTAGAATTAAAAGGTCCCAATGCTATAAGCAAGATCCTCATGAACTTAAACATATGTCAACAATGAGTCATGGGGATTTGTTTGTGGAAACAGAAGGATTTATGACACCAATTCAGGACTAGGTAATTACAACTCGAAATTATAAAAGGAGCTCATTATTTATAATGAGTCCAGACTTAGTGATCAACATATATTATTCAATGAAGCAGTAAAAATTACACAACAGGTCAGTTTAGGCTACAAAAAGTTAGCATATACTGAATACCTATTGAGACATGACCAGGGGACTAGAATTTGACATTAAAAACTTGCTTTTTTTCATGGACTGACAAATGACTGGTCTGTAAACTACACAGAGAGACCAAAATATTCTTCAGAACTTGAACAATAAACTGTGCTAGAACAGGACCATGATTACAATCCAAACTGCTACCCAAAAAGACATGAAAAAATTATATTAACTAATTCAGAGTGAAGTAAGCAAAAATACAAGAATAATGTATACTACAACATTTTTAAAATGAACAATTTTTAGGAGTTTTATAAAACAATGATGAATGAAATGGGTAGAACCAGGAGAACAATTTACACAATGGTAACACTGTAAAAACAACTTTGAAAACTGTCAAAATTATGATCAATATAATGACCATTCATTATTCCAGAGGACCAATGATGAAAGATGTAATCATTACTGAGAGGTGATGAATTTAGGGTACAGAATAAGATATTCATAACTAATAAAATGATAGGAAATCCTTAGGATTTCTGGATTTCAGATTCAGTTATGAATATATGATACAAACATTCACTCCCCCAAGCACTGTAAGGTTATTATACTCTGAAAATTTTGTAAATTTTAAAATGTTACCCTTTAAAGTAGAAGCTAGTGTACTTTTCCACCAATCTAAATGCAGCAGCCACCTCCCACAACTTTGGGGTGTTAAAAACCTCCCTTTAGGGGAGATTTTCCCTTATCACTTGTCTTATCAAAGGAAAGCTCATCACCCATCATTTCTGCTACCAAGAATCAAATCAGCTTCCTAAGGTATTTATTCTTTGCTTTTTTCTCATAGGAGTAACAACCCTGCCCTTACTGCCCACTTCTTCCTTTAGGCTCAAATCTACATCAAAACTTTCAAGAAGGCTGAAGATACTAGTATGACAAAGTTTAAAGTAACTTCACATCAGTAAAGTGAATGACTTTTTGCTACTGTAACAAAAAGTCAGCAGAAAAGTTATTTTGTAGTGTTACCCAAACACTAGAAGTTTTTTTTAATAAGTTCTCTTTATTACTGATATATTATTTGAAGATTTTCTCACTTGTTCTACACAACTACTGCCATAAATGACAAATTTCTTATAAAAATACACATGAGGTGTGAATAGTTAGTATATATACTTCCTGAATCAAATTTTTTGCCAACTGGTGAAGTTAAGGCATTTGTGAAGATCATAAGATTTAGAACTGGAAATGACCTTAGAACTGATTCAGTTCAACCCTCTTAACCCATTTACATATGAAGAAATTGAGGTTCAGGGAGGTCAAGGTCATATGGATAGATTTAATTTAAATCCAAACCTGCTGCTCTGTCAATAATAATAACAGCTCGCATTCATATGGTGCTTTAAGATTTGCCAAGAGCTTTATACTGAAACAGCTTACCTTGGAACACAAACCTGGGCTCTAATTTTCTTTACAGGTTATCAAGCTTTAGGACAATGAGATAAATCAGATTACATTTTACTTAAAAGAAAGACTTCTTTTACAAAATACTAATACTAATAATAGAACTGGAATTAGCAAAGAAAACTAAGAGTCCATTGAGAGCAGGAATTGTCCCTAAGACATCCCTGAAAAATTATTTCATGATCTCTATTTGAAGATTCCCAGAGATGAGAATTACATTTCACTTCTAGACAGTTCAATCAAGAAATTTTCCTTATATCCTGTTAAAATCTGCCTCACTTCAACTTCCACAGATTGTATCTTGTTCCACCTTCTAAAGACAAGCAAAATAATTTTATTTCATCCTTCCATAGGACAACCCTTTAAAGACTTGAATTCACCTGTTCTTTCCCTCTTTCCCCAATTTTCTCACTCTTAATTTAGGCTAAACATTCCCAGTTCTTTCAATTTATCCCTGTATAACAAAATTTTAAGTCCTCTCACCATCCTGGTTTATTTTCCTCATCAAACCATTCCATAGGAAAAGGACTTTCTTAAATATCCCTGTGATCATGCTCAATTGTAGTGATATTTCTAAGTATAGGAAATTATTTGTCAAGAGCAACTATTATGTAAAAGTAAAACTCAATGCAATTGGGTAGAGGGTGGAAGTACTCTCTCCCATCAAATTAACAAATTAAATTACTACTTCAATATAGAATTATCTGGAAAAATGCATAAACATTTCAAGTTAATTTTTTATTTCTGTCAATAGTGAGGAAAGCCTCAAATAGATACTTACGATAAATCCTTGAAGTCTGGAAAGACATACATGTGCCTGAAGCTGTCAATGGCTATTACAGGGCAATCTGCTGGTGTTTTCTGTATATGCAGAAGTGGGTGTCTAAATTTATCACAATCAGCATGTAAAAAGTTTATTGTACCTTAAAAAGAAAGAGTATTTGGAGAAGATTAGAATTATTTGACTTTACATTCCCAAAATATTAACAGTAACATGCTAGTTCAAATATGTCACCTGTCTAAAATGAGAGTCCTTTGAAAGAAAAAAACAGAGGTATACTATGAAAAACAATTACACAAAGTTACCCAAAACCATATATTTACATCCAGTGAAAATTGGGTTCTAAGTGAGGGGGGAATGTGTGGGGACTATAGGGTTGGTCAGGAGCAAATGGCAAACAGGCACTCTCAACAATTTCACAGGCACATTTAAGAGGTCGAAGGAAAAGCTGAATGAGTACTGAAGTCAGTGGGTACCAGAGCCTCTCATCAAGGAAATCAAGTAAAACATGACACAACAGGCTACAATACAATTTGGTTTTTGTATATGCCAGATCTGGGGGAAAGTGTGTGGTATAGAACGCTGGACTCCAGATTAGGAAGACCTGATTTTGACTCCTGCCTCACATACTTAGCTTTGCAACCCTGGGCAAATCAGTTAACCTCTGACTATTTACTTCAGTTTCTTTATCATTAAAATAGGGACAGTAATGACACCTACCTACCAGAACTGTTGTGAGGATAAAATGAGATAATATATGTAAAATGTTTTGCAAACCTTCAAACATTAAATAAAAGTTGGCTGTTATATATTTGGACCAATACTATATCTGAAAAAAACTAACACTGAAATATAAAAGCAATATACTTGAGTTATTTAAAATAATCTAGGAATTATAAAAACTAAAAATTGTAGCTGTTTTCCAATGTACCACTTGAAGCAGTAGATATCTTACTTAGAGATTTTTAAGAGTGAAATTTCTATTTTATCAAAATTACATCACATCTTAAGAGGTCATAATTTGAAGGCTACAGTTCATGTCGAATTTTCTAACAATCTACTCTGTAGATTACCTAACTGTCCTAAGGACAGAGTCCCGATGTCATAGACCAGCCAATGATACCATGACCAACTTTTACTTATCTACACAGGGAACATCATCCTCCAATCAGAAATTTTCTCTATTCTATTCCACATGATAGTCAATTCAATTCAATTTATTAGACAACTACTATGTATATAGCACTGTGTCGTGTTCTTAGTTCACTTTGTCTCTATACTTTTCTAACTACAGACTTCCTGATACTCTGAGAATTCCACAACAACTTGATAACCTCTTTTTGTGTAAAAAATAAGTTCTTGGCTATAAGACTGAAGAATTTCAGTAAAAAACAAGGAACTAAAAAGGGGTCATTTGAAGGCTAGAAGAAGTGTCTAAATTTACCACTTTCCCTCCTAAGTTTCCCACTTCTCTCAGTTATGACATACTAATGACTGGAAGCTAAAGTCAAAGTAATCTGGTAATGGATAGATCTAATCATGGCATTCCCCTGCTTAATATTCTTCAGTGGGCCTAAGACCCTGTACCTATTATCTAAACACAAACTTATTAGCCTGGCATTCAGAGGCCTACATAATCTGTCTCCAAATCATCTTACCAGCCTTATTTCAGTGGAAGGGAATAACACTTATCCCATCACATATTCTATGCTCTATCCAAACTAGACTATACAACATTCTGAATCTGCTCTAGCCTTTTCCTGCCTTCATCCTTTGGTGAAGAATGTCCTTCATGGCTAGAACTGGACCCCACCCTAATCCGTAACACTCTTTCTCTCCTTTGAAGCCCAGCTTAAGTTTCACCTTTTTTTCATAATTTTCATAATTCCCCCTGCCATAACTGATCCTTCTCTTCTTTGGCTTTCTCAAACCATTTCCATTTCAGCCCTCCCTTTCACTTCATCATTTTATAACCTGTACAATAGTTATTTGTGTACATCTTCTCCCTTAAGGGAAAAGGCTACATTGTTTTTCGTCTCTGTGCGCCCAGTACCTAGCACAGAGCCTTCCACATAACAGATACTTAAATAATAGTTTGTTGAGTTGAACTGAATTGTCAAGAGAATCACTGCTTTTTATTTCTTCTGCTAATGTCCCCCTCTATTTTCATGCTAAATCATGACCTGGCTATATCTCTAAAATTATTCACTAGATTTTCCATACCAAATATCTTTAAGCATATTTGAAAAGAATAGCAAAGATAAAAGAGAAACCTTAGTTAATCTACCTTTTTCACTTATTAACTGCCGGGCTACTTCATTTTGGAATACATCTAAACTCACTGTATCCTCTTTCATGTGGAAAAGTATGAGAAAAGGCAGTCCTTCTTCTGTCAATTCCTGTATAGAGAAAGTATTAAATAAGAATTGTTATACCTTTTCATTTAGTTCTAGTTATATTCCAGAATACAGCAGAATATAACTATTTAAAAAAGAAAACCAACAAAAGTAGCATGCAGCAATAAAAAAATATCCCATGGAAAACAGTCTAAATAGAAATATTGATAGCACTGCTCTTAAAGCAAGAAGGGCCTAAGTATAAGCAAAGCAAGTCTGTTTCATCTCCGACTTCTAAGAATTATAACTATGACAGACAAGTCAGAATCACAGTCCCTCTAGCCCAATATTCTTTGTAGATAGCACCAAGAGATATTCTGTAAGGTACTGTTGTTGTCTTAGATAGCTACAATAAAAGGTTAGGGACATATTCCCAAACATTCTCGACTTCCTTTCATTCATTATCAATCTGTAAATTATTTTTGAATTATTTTCACCTAAGTTACTTCTTCTCTAGTCTTATATTTTGAGATTTGTGACCATAAATTAGGATGGCAAGAGCACTGGGGTCAGAAGATTTAAATTTTGCCAAAGACTATTTGAGTAATTTTGGACATATCACTCAATTTTTCTGGGCTCTTTTCCTACTTCTAAAGTGAAAAGGATTAGACTCAAAGATCTTTGATGTCCTTTTCAAGTGGAAAAAAAGTATGATTCTACGTTTATCCTACCCATACCCTGAACTTGTTTTTACCAGTCAAGAACTTATCCCCTAATTCAATCAATCAGCAAATGTTCCTTGAGCACCTCTATGTACCCATCAATACAGAGATTATAAAGTAGTAAAAAGATATGGTCCTTGTCCTTAAGGAGTTTATAATCTAGCTAGGGATGCAACACTAACTGATAAAACAATTAAAATAAAACGAAGTGACGAGATATGTTGTAACTGAGTGTTAATACACTGGAGTTCAGGAAAAAGTGAGATTAGTATGGTCTAGAGTAATTAGCCAAGGCCTTGTTGCAGCAGAAACTAAGCTGAGCTGGGGCTTGAAAGGTGAGTATGATGTATACAAAGAAAGAGAAAAAGAAGACAGGAAGAAGGTCTTCCAGGTAGACGAGGATAAAAACAGCAAGCAGAAAGGCATGGGTATAAAGGGCAGTTTAGAAATAATCCTAACTATACAATCCAGGGTTCTTTCCATAATTTTTGGGAGTTGTCTAAAGCAAAGAATAGTTAAGTGACATTCAGGGTCACACAGCTAATAAATGTCATAAGTGAGATTTGAACCCATATTTTCCTGACCCCAAAATTCAACACTCAATATACTTCCTGAGAGCATGCCTAGTACTAAATCCACTACTACTCAAACTACCTCTACAGATTATATATGTATATAAAATATATAAAAACATATACACATATATCTTTTTCTTTTGTCAGGACCTGTGGTTTCATTGCTATAGGGAACTCCCAGCATGGAAACCATTGAAGGTAAGCAACTATTAGTCTCAGAGAGCTATTTGTGGCACTAAAAGGTAAAGTGATTTCCCCAAGGTCACACAGCCAATTGTGTCAGAGGTGGGGAAATCCATCCCTGGGTGAACCCAGGTTTTCCTGATTCCTGGGTCAACTTTCCATCTACTAGAGAATTCATTCATATTCTCTCTCTCTCTCTCTCTCTCTCTCTCTCTCTCTCTCTCTCTCTCTCTCTGTTTCTCTCTCTCTCCCTCTCCTCTTTTTGTTAGGGAGAAAACATCAACTGGCTGCATTTATTTATTGGTCCTTCTCTGGGGTAGGGGAACAGTGTCTCATCTACTGGTACTAGTTTCCTTGTCTGAAAAAGAGCTACCTGGAGAGGCCTCTCTATTACATAACTGAATCTGGTCCCAGTGAGCCCAGAAACCAACCACTGTGGGTCAGTTTGCACAGGAAAGGAGGGAAGTATGGTAAGACAGTAATATGGCTTCTCAGAATTCTGGTGGATTTATATTAAAAATAGATGTGTACAAAAGACAGAAGCAAGGGTACTGGTACTTAACCAAGGGCAAATATAAAACAGTACCACATATCTGTAAAAACAGCATCATGAAGACTAAAAAACCCCAAAATGAGCCTAGTGTTACAAAAACTGCTAAAATTAATAAAATGAACTTTGAAATCTATCTTCCAAATAAGAAAAGAACAAAGGAAGGAATAAGCCTAATGGTTAAGCAGATGGTATTGTGTTAATGGACAGCAAAAAAAAAATGAAGCTGCTCAACTGTCATTTTGGTTCTAACTTCTCTGTCAAAGAGAATGCTCTGCAGACTAGAATGGGTAGAACAAATGTGGTTAAATGTAAATCAGAGCCAAAGACTGGTAAGGAGATAGGGAGAAAATACTTAGCAACTATAAATAAGTTGAAACCTCTTAATGTAGAAAAATTAAGCTGCAGGATGCTCAAAGAACTTAAAAATGTGATACGTAAACCACTTGGGATAATCCATGAACTATAGCTGAGAATAGGAAGGGTGTGCTATAAGACTGATGAGTAAATTTTCTTAACTCTTCTTTTTAAAGGGAAAGAAGGTAGACTATGCCAGCTATAGCAAAACAAATTTAAAGTCAAACTCAGGTTAAATTCTAGAAATACTGAATAGATGGCTTGTAAGCACAGAGGAAGATAAGTGAAGATCACCAAGAGTCTAGAATTCGCCAAAAATAAGTTACGCCAGACCAACATTATTCTTGATTTTAATACATTTACTCGTATTGGTAACAGTCTGAATTAAATTGAATGCCACAGATGTTCCCTATCTAGATTTCAGCAAGGCTAGTCTGTCCATTCTGAAAAAATCTTGTATGACACTCTTGTGGACAAGTCTGAAAAAAATGTGGACAATGTACATGTAGGTGGATTCATATCTGGTTTAATGACAGAGTCCAAAGAGAATTAATGAATCATTGTCCACCTGGCAGAAGGTCTCTAGTGCCAGAAAGGTTTGGTGCTCAGTTCTGTCCTGCTCACCATTTTAATTATTTATATGGCACATCTTTCAAATTGGAGAAAGACACAAAGCGAAGAATACCAATATATTGAATGACAGAATCCAAATCCAAAAGACCCTTGATAATGTAAATTTCTCAATTCAGGTTGAAAAAAAAATTAACTTCAAGCACAGGATGGCAAAGACAAGATTGGATAGCAGTTCATATTTAAACAGGAGGGTCCTAATTGACTGAAAGCAAAACCTAATTCCACCATAATCCCTGTCCTCCACTTGACAGACCATACTTGAAACATGATTTTCAGTTCTGGGTGACACTTTTTAAGAGTGACACTGAAAAACTGGAATGTGTGCAGAGAAAGTTAAGTGGTACAGTAAAGGGTGCTGTTAACTAAAACAAATCTAGGGATGGGCAGGGGCCAGCTCTAAGAAGTCACCAGGTTCAATCCTGGAATGTTCAAGAGATGCTGGAATATGAATGTATAGGCTGACATCTCAAGGACATCTCTGGAGTAAGGAATGATGCTTCTTCTGCCAGACTGTTGAGTTTCTGAGAACAGTGCAGGATAGGGTTCTGATCCCAACAAAAACCACCAGGTCAGATCCCTCAGGTTAGGATGGAGCAACTGAATCTTAATAGAGGGTTCTCATCAAGGGATGACATTACTAGAGTAATATATTAATTTGGGGTTGTTGTGAGGATCAAATGAAATGGCCTACATAAAGAACTTTGTAAACTTTAAAGCAATATATAAATTCAAGTCATTATTATTATTTTATTTTATTACTATTATTTTGGGGTAGTGCAATAAGAAAAGATGGAAATTAGATATATGCTCTATATATGGATATTGGCAAGAAAAATTATAGGATGTGTAAGCATTGCAATAATATCCCATAAAGAATGTTGGATGTGAAGAATTCAGAGAAAACAGGAAGGCCTATAATTGAAACAGGTTAAAGAAAGCAGAGTAAAAACGACATAAAAAACAAGCACAACAAAATATCAACATGTTTATCATTGCACAAAGCAACAGGCACCTTAATGAAGTGCCTATTAAGCTAAGCAATGTCAAAAACAAACCAGTTTTGTCCTCAAGGAGCTTATAACTTAGGAAGGAGAGACAATGTGTACATATGTAGATATAAACAAAATAACGGGGGGGGGGAGGTGTATGAAGACATGAGCAGCTGAGGGGTAGGAGGACAGCACTAATGGAGTCATACAGAGGATGTCACGCGAGCACTTGAATTGAGTGAGCCTTAAAGGAAACTCGGAATGATTCTAAGAGGCTGAAGTGAAGAAGGTATGCATTACAGGTACAGAGGCCCAGAGAGGGGAGATTTGAGAGCCATACTGAAAGAAGACTCAGAAGACTAGTTTGGCTGAACCACAGAATGAGTGAGTAATACATAATAAGTCAAGAAAGGGAGGATGGGGCCCAGTTGTAAAGGACTTCAAATGCCAGATGGAAGAGTTTAAATTTTGTCTGACAGGTTAATAGATTTTATTGAGTAAAAGAGTGACCTGGTCAGACCTATACTTTCAGAAAATCACTGACAGTGGTACAGGGGCGAGGCAACAGAGAGTCTGATCGGGAGGCTATTATATAGTCTAGGCAAGGGCTTCTTAAACTTTTCCCAGTCATGACCCTTCAGCAATTCTTAAACCATAGGTTGCAACCCCCACGCGGGTCCCACAGTTTAAAAAGCACTGTTTTAGGCCAGAAATGATGAGGACCTGAATTATGATACTGGCGCCTTCACTCCCAAAATGATCATTTCCGACCTGTTCTGAGGTGATATACATACAAATCTTCTGTCATTTTCCTGCATGAGATTTTGCAAATGATCTTATATTCCAAACTAGTGTTGCTTTCTCTTGGTTTCCATGTCTTTCCTCTAGGCAAGGTGATCAAGTGTTTGTTGGTTAAGTGTTTTTCCAAGTTCTTTGGCTTCCTTGGAGTAATAACTGTTTATATCAATTAAACTTCCACAGGAAAAACAGTCCATTAACAAGCACCTATTAAGTGCCTATTATGTGCCAGGCACCATGCTAAGTAATGGGGATA